TGCGACATAAACAATTATTTGATCAGTGAAATTGCAAGACCGACCTTGGTGTGATTAGCCTTGCAGGTCCTTTTTTTTACATCCGTTCGTGCATCATCGGTTGTTATTGTCTCCATTGTACAGAGCACGTGTGTAACTGTAGCAGCTTAACGAGTGGTTTTACGATCGTATTTTTCCTGTTCTAATAGAATGCTTTATTCCAATTACGCAGTGAAAAAAGCGCATCTGTACCTGCAATCATTATATAAGACACCTGTTGCTTCATGTGACGTACACAAGTTTTGAGTAGCACTAGTTAGTTTTAGTTCATCAGTGAAATTGGGGAAAGAACAGAGCTTGTGCGTGCATAGGTTAGATTGGGAATGCAAAGACGTGCGCGTTTTTACAATTCAGACACTGTTTCGGACCAGCATTCTAAACGGTAGGATTAGAAAGGGTTCCTGGTTATCGTTTGACATTTTGCTAATTAGCAGGTTGATATTACGAACTTGGGTTAATCTTTGTCTTCATTTTAGCGCCTTTACCTAATTTGCGTTTCGTCGATTGTAAATTTTTCTTATTCTTCAAGTCGTTTGTCATATTATCATACCACCAAACCACAACATCATCGCAACAGACTCTGAAGAGGTACCCAGACAAAATGTAAGACAATATAGTCGGGGAAAATACCGGCTATCCCTGTTATTGTATTTTACAATGTGATTGTTCTCCGATCATTACCTTATGTGTGTTTATTCCTTTTTTTCTGTCAAACTTGACTTTCCTCTCGTTAAGAACAGAGGATTCCTCGCAGATTTTGCGTAAACAATTTGCCGGCTGTTTCGCTGTATGGTTGTATGATACTAATGCTGTTTCTCCCTTTGTCAGAATCATGTAACAGGGGAGTACCATGCTAGCGTGTCCTAGTTATGGTATTTCATTGAGTTGCCACTTGAAGTGGTCATTAAATTTCGCCATCATTAGTTGACTAATCAACTTTAATTTGATATTTCACATGATCTTAGTTGCTGTATGTCATAGCTGTGGATATCGTCGTCACAAGACCTTATTTGTTGTATGTCTAGCTGTGGATATCGTCATCACATGATCTTAGCTGTTGTTTGTCATAGCTGTGGATATCGTCGTCGCATGATCTTAGCTGTTGTTTGTCATACCTGTGGACATCGTCGTCCCATGATCTTAGTTGTTGTTTGTCATACCTGTGGACATCGTCGTCTCATGATCTTATGTGTTGTTTGTCATACCTGTGGACATCGTCGTCACATAATCTTAGTTGTTGTATGTCATACCTGTGGACATCGTTGTCACATGACCTTAGTTGTTGTATGTCTAGCTGTGGATATCGTCGTCACATGATCTTAGCTGTTTGTTGTATGTCATAGCCGTGGACATCGTCGTCACATGACCTTAGTTGCTGTATGCCAGTTGTATGTCATACCTGTGGACATCGTCGTCACATGATCTTAGCTGTTGTATGTCATAGCCGTGGGCATCGTCGTCACATGACCTTAGATGTTGTATGTCATACCTGTGGACATCGTTGTCACATGACCTTAGTTGTTGTATGTCATACCTGTGGACATCGTCGTCCCATGATCTTAGTTGTTGTTTGTCATACCTGTGGACATAGTCGTCACATGATCTTAGTTGTTGTTTGTCATACCTGTGGACATCGTCGTCCCATGATCTTAGTTGTTGTTTGTCATACCTGTGGACATCGTCGTCCCATGATCTTAGTTGTTGTTTGTCATACCTGTGGACATAGTCGTCACATGATCTTAGTTGTTGTATGTCATAGCTGTGGACATCGTCGTCACATGACCTTAGTTGCTGTATGCCATAGCTGTGGATATCGTCATCACATGATCTTAGTTGTTGTATGTCATAGCTGTGGATATCGTCGTCACATGACCTTAGCTGTTTGTTGTATGTCATAGCTGTGGATATCGTCGTCACATGATCTTAGCTGTTGTTTGTCATAGCTGTGGATATCGTCATCACATGATCTTAGCTGTTGTTTGTCATAGCTGTGGATATCGTCGTCACATGATCTTAGTTACTGTATGTCATAGCTGTGGATATCGTCATCACATAATCTTAGTTGTTGTATGTCATAGCTGTGGATATCGTCGTCACATGATCTTAGCTGTTGTTTGTCATAGCTGTGGATATCGTCGTCATATGATCTTAGCTGTTGTATGTCATAGCTGTGGATATCGTCGTCACATGACCTTAGCTGTTTGTTGTATGTCATAGCTGTGGACACCGTCGTCACATGACCTTAGTTGTTGTATGTCATAGCTGTGGATATCGTCATCACATGCTCTTAGTTGTTGTATGTCATAGCTGTGGATATCGTCGTCACATGATCTTAGTTACTGTATGTCATAGCTGTGGATATCGTCATCACATAATCTTAGTTGTTGTATGTCATAGCTGTGGATATCGTCGTTACATGATCTTAGTTGTTGTATGTCATAGCCGTGGACATCGTCGTCACATGACCTTAGCCGTTTGTTGTTTGTCATAGCTGAGGACATCGTCGTCACATGATTTTAGTTGTTTGTTGTTTGTCATAGCTGTGGACATATATCGTCGTCACATGACCTTAGTTGTTGTATGTCATAGCTGTGTATATCGTCATCACATGACCTTAGTTGTTGTATGTCATAGCTGGGGATATCGTCGTCACATGACCTTAGTTGTTGTATGTCATAGCTGTGTATATCGTCATCACATGACCTTAGTTGTTGTATGTCATAGCTGTGGACATCGTCGTCACATGACCTTAGCTGTTTGTTGTATGTAATAGCCGTGGACATCGTCGTCACATGACCTTAGCCGTTTGTTGTTTGTCATAGCTGTGGACATCGTCGTCACATGATTTTAGTTGTTTGTTGTTTGTCATAGCTGTGGACATCGTCGTCACATGACCTTAGCTGTTTGTTGTTTGTCATAGCTGTGGACATCGTCGTCACATGATCTTAGTTGTTGTATGTCATAGCCGTGGACATCGCCGTCACATGACCTTAGCTGTTGTATGTCATCGCTGTGGACACCGTCGTCACATGACCTTAGCTATTGTTTGTCATAGATGTGGACACCGTCGTCACATGACCTTAGCTGTGGTTTGTCATAGCTGTGGACACCGTCGTCACATGACCTTAGCTGTTGTTTGTCATAGATGTGGACACCGTCGTCACATGACCTTAGCTGTTGTATGTCATAGCTGTGGCCACCGTCGTCACATGACCTTAGCTATCGTATGTCATAGCCGCGGACATCGTCGTCACATGACCTTAGCTGTTGTTTGTCATAGCTGTGGATGGATATCGTCGTCACATGACCTTAGTTGTTGTATGTCATACCTGTGGACATCGTCGTCACATGATCTTAGTTGTTGTATGTCATAGCTGTGGATATCATCGTCACATGATCTTAGTTGTTGTATGTCATTGGATATCGTCACATGACCTTAGTTGTTGTATGTCATAGCTGTGGACATCGTCGTCACATGACCTTAGTTGTTGTATGTCATAGCCGTGGACATCGTCGTCACATGACCTTAGCTATCGTATGTCATAGCCGCGGACATCGTCGTCACATGACCTTAGCTATCGTATGTCATAGCCGTGGATATCGTCGTCACATGACCTTAGCTATCGTATGTCATAGCCGCGGACATCGTCGTCACATGACCTTAGCTATCGTATGTCATAGCTGTGGACTCCGTCGTCACATGACCTTAGCTGTTGTTTGTCATAGCTGTGGAGATCGTCGTCACATGACCTTAGTTGTTGTATGTCATAGCTGTGGATATCATCGTCACATGATCTTAGTTGTTGTATGTCATTGGATATCGTCACATGACCTTAGTTGTTGTATGTCATAGCCGTGGACATCGTCGTCACATGACCTTAGCTATCGTATGTCATAGCTGTGGACTCCGTCGTCACATGACCTTAGCTGTTGTTTGTCATAGCTGTGGACATCGTCGTCTCATGACCTTAGTAGTTTTATGTCATAGCCGTGGACATCGTCGTCACATGACCTTAGCTGTTGTTTGTCATAGATGTGGACACCGTCGTCACATGACCTTAGCTGTCGTAGGTCATAGCCGTGGACATCGTCGTCACATGACCTTAGCTGTGGTTTGTCATAGCTGTGGACACCGTCGTCACATGGCCTTAGCTATCGTATGTCATAGCCGTGGACACCGTCGTCACATCACCTTAGCTATCGTATGTCATAGCCGTGGACACCGTCGGCATATGACCTTAGCTATCGTATGTCATAGCCGTGGATATCGTCGTCACATGACCTTAGCTATCGTATGTCATAGCCGCGGACATCGTCGTCACATGACCTTAGCTATCGTATGTCATAGCCGTGAACCCCGTGGTCACATGACCTTAGCTATCGTATGTCATAGCCGTGGGCACCGTCGTCATATGACCTTAGCTATCGTATGTCATAGGCTGTTGTCTGTCATAGATGTGGACACCGTCGTCACATGACCTTAGCTATTGTATGTCATAGCTGTGGACACCGTCGTCACATGACCTTAGCTATTGTATGTCATAGCTGTGGACACCGTCGTCACATGACCTTAGCTGTTGTATGTCATAGCCGTGGACATCGTCGTCACATGACCTTAGCTATCGTATGTCATAGCCGTGGACACCGTCGTCATATGGCAATGGTACAATGTTACAAAACACGACGGCGTGGAAAATAACCATAAGAAAAACTTGATATGGATTACTGAACTACAAAAGCAAAACACGCGATTCTTATCAAACATGACGGCACTCATTCATTTTGTTGTAGTTTAAGATTCATTCTAAATATGGCAATACTTAAATTGGTTCCGCGTGCGGCCGTGACTCAGTCAGGCCCGATTATCGATCTGAAGGTGGCCGACACAACACGGCCATTTGTTATAAAGCAACTGGTAGTGGAATAATCGGCCGACAGACATTCACAACACCAACAGGTTTTCTACACAACTTTATTCGATGGATACTGAAGATTCCAGAATGAACTTGACCCCTTACTAGAAAATTCAGTCATCTCTAGGGTCATATATATATATATACATGTTCCGTCCACAAATGTTACACAAATGATTGTAATCCTCCTAGGATGTCGGTATGACATGTAATTGTCAAATAATTCCTTGACAGTTCAATTCAACAACAAATTAAATTAGAGGATATATCTTAAGTACGAAAAATGTGTAACTAAAGTGTTAAATGTATATTTCACTGTGTTAATTTTAGACAGCATAGCACATCCTGATATAGCAGGCCCTAGTTTAACGAAAGCTCCCTAATTAAAGAACTTCAGTTAGGAATGTTTCCTTAACATAAGAAGCATTACTCAATTTAACCCAAAAATGCTTTCATTTACATTTAACTTTTATACCAAGGTTAAGGATAGCCCCCATCATTTATAATGTCGAAGAGGGGTTTGTCCCTTTTATATAGAAGATGAAGCTTCCCTGACTTACTTGTATTTTGATGGTTTGCTTTCAAAAGTCCTGGATAACAATATTGGTCAAGTGTAGGACTGACAGCGTATTTGTCACGGGTTAGATTTTGGCTGTTCTTTTTTCCACGTTTTTTTAAGTTTAATGCAAATAATACACAAATATTGAACGACTGTCATTTCGTAAAATGCATTGCAAGATGATTTTTTAATGAAAACATACTGCAGAATGGGATTTTTTTCATGATAGCGACAATTGGAATATTATATTCAAACTTTAAGGTACCCTTTACCTCAAGGGATTTCCTCAACTGAAGGAATGTTCTTGAACCTGGTGCCGGGTCAAAGATCATCCTGAAACTCACAGGTGAAATATTCACACATATCTGAAGAATCCATACTCGACATTGCACAAAATAGACGTAACATTTGCTTTAAAATAGAACTGTTGTCGGTCCTTCTTTTCAGAATGTTAAACTTGATAAAACGCTAATCACGGGTGAACTACAACAAGACTAGAGCGTGATTAGGGTATATCAACAGCATTGTTCGTAATGTGATCCCTTTGAAGTCTTTTACGCCGATGTTTTCTGGAGTTCAGAACAACCAGCTGGTCCGAAAATATCATATTTCCATACATAACAGTTGCCTGAGTGTTATCATTAAGTATATCCGAAGGGGTTTCCGAAAGGCAACTATCGGAACTTCTCGCCGAGCTGTTCATGTGTGCCAATGTGTATGACGTCCAGGTGTTAATATCCCGGTCGTACCGAACCTCGATATCGTCTGAGAAACTTGTGGTGTCACTCTTGTCTAGACTTCCGAGGTCCATGTTGTACTCGGAAGATTCCGTAAGGTCGGTACAGTCCGATGACGCCGACATGTTCTCCAATTGGTTCTCCATCAAACGTTCGTACATCCCATCGTAGTCCTCAGTACTGTACGACCCGTGCTCGCTCGAGCTATCAACGTTGACGATCTTTGAGTTCAACAGATCGTAAGGTATTCCGCCTCCTGTATAACCTCCCCCCGAAGCACTGCTACCACTTGCCTCTGCCCCGAAACAACCATATAACGTATTAATCCCGTCTTCCGGTGTAACGTCTACAGCTATCACAGGTTTATGATCAACGCTTTCCCCCGATGATTTTGAATCAGGAGAAATATCTACTTCCGGTTTAGGTAGTGTCATTTCCTCCTCAACAACGTTATGTTTGATTTGCGCGAAACATTTAGCGACCGGAACGGGAATGCATGTCTGTACTGACACGCCACTGTTATCCGTCATATCCGTGTTGACCGATATGGAGCGCTTTGGCGCCTGGCGCGGTGCGCCGCAGACAGTGTCGTTCTGTAGTAGATCTTGCAACGGCGCCCCTACGTAGTCGCCCATATCGGTACCAAGGGAGAAAGACCGTTTTGGAGTCCGTTCGGCGTTACTTGAAATATTTAAAGGGTCAGATAACACTAATGACCTTCCCCACCTTGACCGGTGCTCACCTGGGGATATTTGTAAATAAGAAAGGTCAAGGTCGGGAGATGCGTCCCACGCTCTCGTTTCCTCTACGCGAAGAAGGTCACGTTTCACGTCATCGCCGTTCCTACCTGTTCTCCTAGGAATGTTTGACGGTGAGCGTGCAGTCTTTGATGATGGCGATTTCTCTTCACGTCGCCATTTTGTGCCGTACGTTTTGTCAATTTTTGCCGTTACGGAGTCTATCTGATCCACCAACGTCCTAAGATCACTGACAACTTGTTGTAGGTTACCTTGGAGATTTTCAAGATTCAGTACCATCTTTTTGACCATATCTTTGACTTGTTTGTCACGTGATTGTATGTGAATATGCTGTTCTGTCTGCGCATGTCCGAACATCATTCACACAAAGATATCGTGTGATCCGACTGTTTCCTGCAAAGTTCATCGGACTGCAACACACCATGTCTGAAGAGATCACTCCGCCGGCAAAACGTAGTACTGTGATCTGAAATATTGAAATGAAATAGTGTCATAGGTGATCGTATGAAAACCTTGTCATTTATAATTTTTCATCCTTTTACTAATTTTGGATAATGTGTAAATGAAATGTGTACACTACGTTCTCCTCTTGAGCTAAGAATCCTTGTCCAACTGCAGGGAAAACAATAGAGAATTCAACGACATTTTTCCTACATTTAGTTACCTCCCCTTAGTTTCGTTTTGGATTTAACTGGAGTTAGGCTGGGTCGAGGAAGGTTATTACATCCGTATTGCGATCGTAGGTGCAAGGTTCGAATCCTTGTCTGGCGTGTTACAATTTTTTACAATCAAAAACAATTTTAGTGGTATTTTGCCTTTTTATCATTATTTTTCGTAAAATTCCGCAGTTTAATTGGTTTCTTTTCAGAAAGGACTTATGAACGCTAATGTCGTACCGGTGAAACAGTGTCAGTAGCTGAACTGGAATTTGTAACACACAATAGATGTATCGAGGAATTTAGAAGCTTCACAGTTCAATAGAGATATTTAAGTAACAGAATATAGAAGACCCCATACAGAGAAGCCACACATGTCATCAACTTCACTTCACTTCAGACATACAGAAATGTACGAAACCATTGCAAGCAATCAATAGTCTCCAACTTTCGGACAACCTCTGGTATTTTATATGAAGAAAGGGCTCTGTCAGAGGTGCACGAGACCAGATATCAAACACGACATATCAAAAGAGGTACTCTCATTAAAATATTAAAAAAATTGCAGTCATAGGTTACAGAGTATATACATTTAAGATAGGTCCCGGATAAAGTTACGTACGGTAATCAAAGGGCATTAACTCTGTATAAAGTCAAACACGGGACCCTGTTTTAGAAGGCAACAGTCCGCCATCCTTAGAAACCACTGTCGTGTTTTTTTGCCGGTTCTTGTTTACGCTTCGACTGATTTCAGTTGATTTGTAAGTAAAAATTAGCCATTTCCATACTTATTACGGACATTTATTTTACACATTGTTTACTGCATAGCAAACTACCCCGCTCCAAATATTTCTTAACAAATTGCAACGGTTTGGTTTCACATCAATGCAAAAAAGTTGCTGTAAACAACTATGTAAAACTAAATAAAAATTCAAATAGTCGTTACATATTCTTCTTTTATCAGCACAAAACCACAATTGACCGTTGCCGTACACAGTTAATCCTTTCACCACTGTAAACCATAATGGACTCATCCAGATCAATGTATGGTAGAGTCTACTAAAGTTACATAGGGTTAAAGGGTTAAACGACAGTGGGTAATCATTTACTAACTTTGGCAACATTAGATGACAACGTTTTTGAGATAAATCTACAGACAGACGGACAACGTGCACACCTATTGAAGTCCCTTCGGTACTACTGGTGGGGCTATTTATCAGAGATATATTGGATGGTCCTGCTGAGATAGACTTATATCAGACGAGTGATGTGTCTAGTTCTAGTTATGTAATTTGTAGCCTTATATTATTATTTTGAGTACACGCAATGGCATTTGTTTGTCGGTCGGTTTCCTGTAATTCAATCTTTTATACATTGGAAATCATATTTGGTCCTTGCTTTTATAGCTAGATAGGGTCGAATTGCAATGATCTTGTGGTTTTTTTTTTACCAGACGAAAGTCACACGCATTTAGGTCAACGATGTTAGGTCGAATAACGCAATAAGGCTAGCGGGTATAAGATAATGTGTCGTTGGTTTGTAAATGGAAACCATGTTTGTGCTTTTATAATTTTAAAATGAAGAGAACATCAAATTACAACTCGAAATATCGTTTTCATGGTAACTTATTAGTTTGTTCAGTAAAACCCCCAAGGGGTGGCGGTAGCGACAACAAGCTCTCTGTTGCAACTGTAGCATATCAACAGCATTGCATTAAATATGATTTACTCGTTTAAGACGTATGACTGCCGATTTGAAGGTCACCATTAAAGCTTACGTTTCGTTGCGCTTGTTTTTAACGATCTGTAAGATTGCGATGACAATATTTGGTATACGGAATATATTTTTTAGTATTGTGTCTGGTTGTGTTGTCCTATAAAGAAAAAGCAAATCGTGCTTGGGATGTGTCATGTAATGAGACTAGACCAATCAGTTCTGAAAATAATCACGGACCCACGATTGACCTACACTCAAGTATGTATGTAATAGGAGAAAGAGAAATGCAACGGCCAGACCTGGCTTCGAACCCGGGACCCTCCGAACTCTAGACGGACGCTCTACCAATTGAGCTACCTGGTCGCCGACGATCGAGCCAGTTAAGTTCAACTACATCCCTCCGTCCTTTTTCTATGTCTTCTGCCCCGAAGACACAACGAAAATGTATTCACAACTCAGGTTCGGATATATTTTCCCCTTGCTAAGAATTCACCCGGTGCTTGAAACAAGGGTTGGCAAGCTCACCAATTTTGTTGTAGGAGAAATGGAAATGCAACGGCGAAAATAAGGTTTGAACCCGGGACCCTCCGAACTCTAGACGGACGTACTACCAATTGAGCTACCTGGTTGCCGACGATCTACCCAGTCCAGTTCCGTTACATTTATACCCGCTTTCGCAACGATATCAAAATATTGCAACATGTCAAAGTTGTCGTTAAAAGACAGTATAAGTGTGTTTGTCTTTGTGGTCATTTATTAACGATTCGTATCCGTTGCCTAATAAATATATTTCTTCGTGTCTTCACAAATTACAGTATCAGTAATTAAATTGGTGAACAACCAATAATTGTACATTTGATGTCATAACCGACCAATATATGTAGATATGAAATCCAAGACAAATTTGCTTGACGTCATAAAAGACCAATAACGATTGACGATTAATATCTTCACATTTGTCTTCATAAACGTCAAGTATCAGTTACTTGACGTCATGAACAAGCAATATCTGTATTTTTGTCTTAAACAGCTATTCCAATTTCTAAATCCGATTCCAAAAATAGCAGTATTGAGTGACAACCTTATCGTTCCTGCTTCGTCCTTCTTCTTGTGAACGGCCGTTATGATGGCGTCACAAAGCTGAACACATCGTTGCTAATATAATCATGGCGATTGAAACCAAATACTAGCTGTATATATAACAAAAGTACACTACGGCAATTAAATACTGATGAGTTTTATTGTAGAAGTTCGTTTTCGTCAACTCATCAAATTTGATTATTCGCCGGAGAAGAAACTGTCTCCTTATCAACGAATCCCTCCTTTCCTGCACGGCTCAACGACGTCATGTATGCTCCGGCACACTGGGGGCTGTTGGTATGAGACGACAGGGCTCCACCAGGATAAACCGCGCTGTCCTTTATTGATTTATGGAAACATTAATTCAATTTTATCTTAATAAACACGAAAACAAACAACAGGTTTGCATCTTCGTTTCGACGACGTCAACTTCATCTTGATACATCGATTTAGACTATTTACCCATGCCACTGCCCTAAAACGAATAGCTTGTGCAATACTTTTTGATCTAGTCTACCAGTTTTTAACACGTATGGTTAATGTTACAGAAAATGAGTACATCTCCAATCTCCTTGTTTAAAAATCATATGCTCAGAAAGTTATCGATCCAACGGTATATCTGATGCGCATGGCCTTCTCCTGGTTTTTTCCTCTTTAGCAAAATGTTATTTGCAGGTGTGAATGTGACACATGCATGCGTTAAATTACGTGGTTCGGCTGACGTTATCTACTCGTAACGGTCCATTCCTAGAGTAACATGTGGTCATAAAACAAATATGATGAGTAGACTTAAATGAAATAGAAAAATAAGCTAATAAATTTTAGGTGGTCGGAAAATCCTGAGTCATCATTTCTAATAACGACAGAAGCTCTGCAACGAATGACAGCTGAACACAGATCCAAATCCTTCTCTGACCACGGCTACTAAATCCCTACTCAACTCTATATGGAAAGCCGTATTACTCATCAGCAGCTATCGATATTTTGAGTTCGATCAGAGGCAGTAACAGAAGAGTAGTATGTCATCTCTCAGCATGTTATGTTAGAAAAAACACTTGTGGACACGTACATATGAACATGTAACTAGGGAAGCCATGTCGTTGTTAAGGAAGCCATATTGTGGATGTTTTCTTGTGCTAAAAGGACAAACAAAAACACATTGCTTTTGCCGTTGAAGTGGGTTTAATACATCAATGGTAAAGAGTTATCAACAAAGCTGCAGCCATCTTTAATTAAAACACAGCCTTTGGTTAACTTGTAACTGTCATGGCCGCCCGGTCGTTTAATGTACTATATCAATTAGAGTGTCGCCACTGCATGATGTATATAATGGCCGAGTCATACAGTACTGACTCACCATTCCAGATTAACACAACGTTTTCATTATAATCATCCGAGTCGAGAGAAAGCTTCAGAAAATGTTTGGTACGCAATATCCGGTCACCTAATACAATACCAACCTTTTCCGAATACATTATCCGGTCTCCCAAAGCAATATTTCGTCTTTTGATATCGTTCGTTGACATCGTATTCAAAACATCCCAAACTTCGTATATGTTAAAACGGAAATATAGAAGTTCTCGAAGAAATTACTTAGTAGTTTTTAGACAAGTATGAGGTCCCGATTTGGGACGAAAATTGCTCTGGTTGTGGGTGGTTTTGTTTTACCTTGTGACTGAGTTGTCAGTTAAGCATCAACGTAAATGCTTATGACAGAACAAAGTCGCCTCCAGAGAGGGTATTGCAGGGGCCAGTGTCCGGACGGTCAATGGAAGTGTCAGCGCCGAAACTTGTGGTCATTACAATTGTCCGATGGAACAATGTGCAAGGAGGGTATTTAGTCTTGATCGTATCAAAATAAGCTATCGAAAGACATCTACGTGTATATCTACTTTATGTCAAAGCACACTTCTAAATGAATCATAAATCTTATTTTTTTTCTTTTTCATATCGACTTCATTTGCGACTGTTAAGATCACGAAGTGCAAGTGAACGTAAGCTCTGATAAGTTTGC